AAATTCTGTTTGAACAAGTTCTGGTAATACTTGTTTACCTTCTATAAAATCTATAGCTTCTGCTAATAAATATTTTTCATTATTAAATGGAAGTAGGTTACAAATTGTGTTGTAATACCTCAAGTCATTAACCACCAATTACATGTTGCCCTTGAAATTGAATCCAACATGAATAAACAGAGTTAATAATATCATATCCCATAAAGGTTCAAGCTCTGAAGTCAGGTCCCGCTTGCATCCCGATCCATCTCCACCTCACACGAATTACACCGAAAAGTCTTAGAACCACCAGTTTGCCATTGATTAGTCCGCAATGCCCACATGTCTTAGAAGTGTACTACTAGGTGTACTCGATGACCTTGCAATACTTTACTCTATTATCTTGTGCAAAAAACATACAAAATCTAAAATATGAACAGGTTAGCATTGTGTGGGCTGTTCTTGATTGGAACATATGTGATGTTTCGAATTTAGGTAGCAAAATGATTTGTAATTCTGAAATACTATCGGGCAAGCTGGTGATGGCACTCATTTATCAAATTACAGATTCGTTGTATGATTCGTAGCATCTATTTTCCCAATCGAAATCTTTTTCTCTTGTTTGTTCTTCCCAAAGCAAGGTCTTTGTCGCTCTGTAATTTGTCATATTTCTTAGACAATTTGAATACTTTGTCAATATCACCGTTACCCCACTCATTAATTGTCCATCAGGGTCAAAAACGTGTGAACACCTGGATCTAGCGAGATTACCTTTCCACGAACATCATCTTGGTTATCGATAATGTCTAAAGGAACGGAAACACACAAGTAAAAATGTCCCAGGTGATTCATGGTTATGTTAACCGCGTTATTGATCTCTGTTGGTTGTTCTTAGGTGATGATACTCTTTAGGAACGAATATTATCCTCTGTTCCTATTCCAATCCCTAATAAAAATCGAGATGGTTTGTGTTCGATCCTTCTTCGATCGGTACTTCATTCGAAAATTATTTCTGTGTAACTTGTTTTTTTGTAAGCGCTCATCAATTATCAGATCGCGTACGAACATACCTCATGTCAGTGATCCCATCGTCCTGTACCATCCCAAAATTTTTATTTTATGTCCACTTTCTTAGCTTTTCTCTTTCTTTAGGCGTTGGATATCTGAATCTTTCGTGTTTCAATCTCCCTTCGTCATTTTCAATTCTCGGCTGACCTGAGCCAATTGTGTTTTGCTGTGAAGATAGTAACGATTGATAATTAGTCCTCGGCAAGTCACTGGATTCAGTGTCATCAACGTTAATATCCGAACCGAGTACCACAACCTTTGTATCGTGCTTAACAAAGATACATTTGACAAGTTCAGAAATGAAGCAGTAGAGCCGTTCTTTGTGGGTAATCACAACCTCCTTGATATCTCCCTGGTATGATCGTTCCAAAATGGATGTAAAACCCAGTTGAGACCTGACCCGATGTCCTTGATAAGTTCGTGGTCTGGACATTTCTGTCTGAGGTACTCATTGTGTTCCTCTGTACTTTGTCGTTGACATTATTTTACTCAAACATGCGAAAACGGGACTTATTTATACTTAAAAGAATATTAAATCATCAAAATGATGGATGTAATGATGATTCAATATTATTTGTCATTAATAATCAGATAATAATAATAATCAGTATAATAAATAGCAACACATAGTAGATTTAATTAATAATATTGTACTAGTTGATAATCGTCTTTATCGTCAGTATTGTCAGATTTACTGGTATGTAGTATATGTGCAAAGGTTAGAACTTAAGTTGGTAAACTATGAAGCTTTGTGAGGATAAACATAGAAGTTCTCTGAAAATGCACTATAAATAATAAAATAATCTGTAAGCTTTCAAATTTCGCTTTCTTATATTAGACTGGTAATTACTTGTTTCATTTGATCCCCAAAGTGTTGTAGAAAATCCGTCGTCAGTTAAGCCACACTTCATATTTTTAAAAGAAAAAAAAATATATCTGTAAAAATTATTAGCCAAGTTTTTTAAATAAACAATTTCCTAAATATTTAAAAATATGTCCAATATTGGAAAAGTTTGTTGTTCTTTCTTTTATAATTCATTTAGCTGTATACTTTGTTTTCCTACTCGCATATTTAAATTATTACGTTTCAATGGGATTATTTTACAAAGCCAACTACTTTTATTTTTTTTTAGTATTTGTTCCTCCATTAATATCATTTATTGTCACAGTAAGTAAAAAATATATTAAATAATGATATACTAATAAACATTCTGATTAGATATTTTACTAAAACATTATTACATGGGATTGTTTTTTGTTTTTTTGAGTTTTCTTATAACGGCCAGTTATGCAATGCAAGTCTACAATTCTTGCGGTGACAAAAGATGTAAAATCAAATTTGCAAATTATCATAACCAAGTAATTTTATTAATTGTACATGTATTCTTTGAGTGTATTTACATAATATTATTGACTCTTCTTTGGTATAAAAGGTAAGGAAGCGTTATATATAAATCCTTTCCCAATAAGACTAATTAGTAACTTTTTTATGTCTCCAGAAAATGGAAATTTTCAAAGATATTGGTAACACAAAAAAATATTCAGATAAATAGTAAGTTTTTAGAATAAAATATATATACGTGTATAATTGTATTAACGATATCCTTTTAATATGATGCAAGAAATGTATAAAAGATATCAATGTCAAGTTGTTTTAATCCATGCAAACTTCATAACGGTATTGGCATGGATATATTGTATGTGGTTGTTTAAAATGATATATATTAATGTAAACTTGATTTTTTATGATTTATTGGGGATCTTATAATGCCTGATCAACTAACTAATTTAGTAGTTTTATTATTTATAATATTTATAATAACGGTGGTAAGTATATTTTGATTAGTTTTTGATTTATTTAAAGCAAAAGACTTATTCGTTCATTTTTATAAAAAATCTTTTATTAGGTTGTGAGAGAATCAAAACTGATCTATTTAATTCATTTATTGAATTTGTTGGAATGCTTTTTTATATATATAAAATAATATTGCAGTTAATAAAGTAAGGAGAATTTTACAATTCTTTTGAATCTCAAATCATCTCGGCTTCTGGTAATATATATTTTTTGTTTTTATATATATCGTTACAATGTTTAACCTTTTGCTATTAGGTGCCTTTGCTTCCTTTGTAACCTTGGCACAAAGTATCAATCTTGTTTTATGTCACAGAAATTTTGGAAATAATCTTGGATTTTATTGTAAGACTAAAAAAAAAAATTTTAATAAAACGAATGATTGTTACCAATAATAATTTTAAAGCTTTTTTAATTTTTTTTTTTTTTTTTTTTGTAATTAAATATTATTATCAAATTTTATTTAGTGAAATATGAGGATATTCCACCAGAATTCGAGTATAATGATGATGATGTTCCCAAGAATCGAAATATTTAATTCCTGCCCTGAAAACGTTATATTTTTATAATACAATTTGTGTAACATTACTTATATAGGTTGAATAAAAACATTTCAACGTTAACATTACCATACTTATTCAAATCTTTTTTTTTTTTTTAATGTACATATAAAGTTGTCACCCGTTAATTATGACTTTTTCTAAATGATATTCACATATTGTAAAACATGAAAATTTGGGCCTTTTGCAACCGAAAGGATGAATTAACGCTTTATTTTGATGTATTTCAGTTTGAAAAGCAGATTAGGTAATTTTAGCAATTTCTCCTTTATATTGTAATTTTCACACTTGATAAGTAATTTTTGTAAAAAAGTTAATTTTTTGTAATTTTGAAAATATTGAAATTCGTTGATAAAGAAAAAAAATGAAATGACTCAAAAAAATTATTACTAAAATTATAATTATGGCGCAGGAAGTAGGACAGAACAATATCATAAGGAACTGAATTTATATCGAGGGAGGGACCTCTATTGTTGCTTCATCCGACGCTCTTTCCATGAAACTTTTACAACAACTTTTTCTTTTTTCCTAGTAAACTATATAAAATGGAAGTTAATCAAATAAAGCAATGTTATGACAAAACGTCAACATTGATAGATACATTGTGCTATATATATGCAAATTTGTTTATACTATGCAAGTAACATTTCCATAAGAATTAGTAAGCTCGGCATAATCATAATTTATTTAATATCGCTTTTTCTAACCAATTAAAATCATGCGTTCGTTGGTTTATTTTTTTCGGTTTGGCAAATTGAATTTGACTTATTTCTTATTTATATTCGGTTAACCTTTAATTGTAACGATCGCAAACAAGTTTATCATGATAAAAATCTTGAATCAAAACTTATTGTCATAGATTTCTTTATTTACTGAATTTTTGGTTGAAAAATTTTGAGTAATGTGACATGTTCATCTTGTTTTTAAGAAAATATAATTTTTTTACTATAGAATATCTTAAGTTTACGTTAATTGCAATGTAAATAGCGAGTAGGACCAAATATTCTTTAAATATGTCGAATCGAAAATAATAATCGTTTATGAGGATCTGCAGAATTAGAATGTTTTGGTCGGAATTATAAGTTTTTTGTGTAATAGAAGTTAAAATACTACGCCATAAATTTTTAACGAATCTAATTTAATTAATTATTTGATTTATTTATGTTAAAAATATTATCATCATATTACGTAACGTAATAAATAAGTTAAATACAACAACAAACTCACAAATAATTTGTGCACTATGGGAATTCAATTTAGTAAGCAGACAATTAAACTTCTATTTTTTCGCTAAGAATTTTCTGGATGCATGCATATTTGTACAAAATAAAGTTCTGAAGATCATTGCCCCTGAAATAAATATCGTCGTTCTTTTGGAAATTTTCGAAGACATTGATGGAATTCTTTTTTAAATTCGAGAACTTCTTTGAGAATTTACGTCATATTAACATATAAATATGTGTGGTTCTTGAATGCCTGAAACGAATTTTTTCATAATAATCATGTTAATCAACTTTAATGTCACTTCAAGTCAGCAAATACAACCCGTGGCTAAATTTAAGCCTAAGCATAAATTTGAAAAATGCATTGAATGTAAAAAAAGGAGAATGCCTTCTGAAGAAAATCATAAAATTTGCCGTTGTTGTTATAGAGCAAATGTAACCTTTAATCCAATTGGAATCGGAAATAAAGTTATTGACGATTTTATCAAATATACACAAATTAATGATATAAAACGAAGCAAAATGGAGATCGTTCCTTATGATAGACTCAAAGATGTAGAATTTATTGGTGAGGGAGGATTTAGTAAAGTTTATAAAGCTACTTGGATTGATGGTTCAATTATTCGGTGGAATAAAAAAGAAAAAAAATATGAACGAGAAGCTAATAAACAAGTTGCTCTTAAGAAACTTAACAATTCTAAAAACTTTACTTCTAAGGAGTTAAATGAGGTATATATTCACTTGTTTTATTTATTTATTATAATTATCTTAATGCGCTAAGTTAATAATCTTTTTTCAGATTAAAATTTCTTATAAATTGAGAAACGTCAGTAGTATCATTAAGTATTATGGAATTACGCAAGATCCTAATACCAAAGATTTTGTGATAATTATGAGTTATTGTGATTCGGGAGATTTGATTCGTTATATAGCTGAAAAGTTTTATAATCTTAATTGGTCATCTAAGTTAAGTCATTTATCCGGTATTTCAGCGGGCCTCGAGGACATTCATGACAAGGGTATTATCCACCGAGATCTTCATAGTGGAAATATTTTGATACAAAATGGAAATAGTATGATAGGTGATTTAGGATTAAGTAAATCTGCTACTGAAGCTGAAGATAATGATAACTATGGAATTATTCCTTATGTAGCCCCAGAGATTCTTCAAGGACAAAAATATATCACGGCTTCAGATATTTATAGTTTTGGTATGATTATGAAGACCTTTTTGGGATCGTGCTCATGATACTGAGCTGATTATTGATATTTGTGATGGGTTACGTCCTCCAATCGGTGATATAAACGCACCTAAAGGTTATATTGAATTAATGAAAGAATGCTGGGACCCTGATCCAAGTAAAGACTATCAGCTGATGACATTCGTTATAAAATTTATAATATTAGAGAAACTGAATGGAAAAATCCAACCGATATTGTAGAATCATCAGATGTTGGACCTATAACAAAAAACAATCCAGGCGCTATTTATAAGAGTAGATCTTTAAGTAGCATGATGAAATCCGCAGAATCCACAAGAAGTATACGAAGTCAATCCATTTCTTCAGATTTTGGTAATTATTTGTTTTATAGATCTTTAAATCATTGTTTTAAGAACATTATTAATTAATCTTTTAAAAAGGTAAACGAAAATTTGAAAGTGATCATATTGAAAATAATAACGGTATGATATAATTCTTTGTTGTTATATTCGTTTCCAGAAAATCTATCCTCAATTAAATGTCAATTAAATGATTTTATAGATGAAGGCAATAAAAAAATTAAATTATTGGAAGAT